GTTTCTGACTGCATCGTGAGCTCCTCTTCTCATCAGCCGTGATCAAAGTCACACAGACCGTTCACTGGCAAACTGACAGCTTTAGGTTTAATGTCTGATTTAACTCATTTGGACTTCAACTTCAGCTCTAACGTGCAGAAACACGCTCAGGCTGCGGTGCATCTGCGGAAGGTGTTTTATATGAATCCAATCAAATCACGAGAGACTGTCACAGAAGCAAAAACACAGAAATACTAATTTCGTAGTTTTCGAGCATTCCTCACGAAGCACACAGGCACTGAGGCAAATAATGCAACAATTATGAAGTGCAAAGCTGGATTTATGAAGTCAGCACAGAGACTTCGGGCTGTGAAACCACCTCACAGATGCTGATCGCTGACTACCTCTTCATTTCGCGCTCTTATGAGCAGCTGTGTCTTTGGGGTGAGTCACAGCCTGCAAAACTGGCATCATAAACAAGGTTGCACGAGGTGAAAGTTTATCCACCACAGATCAAACTGCAGGTGCTGCCAGCGTCCACGTGCAACTGAAGTCAGGGATGCATCTAAGCTGTGAGGTGTGCTCCGTGTTCAAAAGCAGACGTGTTTACAGATATTTAAACAGCCGCACATGCAGGATGGATGAAGCTCCTCCCATCAGAGGTCTCATGGACACTGCTCAGCTTTGAAGTCTGATGAAGTCCTGTCTGCTACATAAAGCTGCTTCTTTGTCTTTGGAAGATTATTATTGTTACTCAGACACTAACGTGTGAGCACAGTGTGACCTGATGTAACTCGACGTCCTTGAAAAGCCGCAGTGTAAGACTGGCTTGGATGGTATCAGTGAAAAACAGTGTTTCAAATGTTTCTGCAGCTCAAGGACGAAGCTGCCGAATGTCTGGCAAAAGAATGTGTCATACAAAGTTAATATACGTCCACTAAGACAAGAGAAAGTGTCTTTCTCAGCCTGAAAATCAGCTAAAATTCACTGTGCTGACACCGTGTTCCTGACTTTTAGAGCCAAATGTTTTAAAGACGTCTTCATTTAAAAGTAGAAAATGACAGGTCGCCCAGGCCTTCATGTCTTTAAGACATACCTGTAGTTTCACCTGGCTTCATGTATAACTGGTTCTGCTGTATATAAAATGGTGTTGAACCCACACAGAGAGCAGCTTATTTAATGACACGTTTGTTCTTCAGGTTACAGCGACACGGTTACAGAAGAACACGTTTATTTTATCCAAATATATAAAAATACATTTGAACGTACAAAATAATCAGAACCTGCTCCTGAGTTCACCTATAGCCCCACGCGCTGCCCCACGCGCTGCCCCATGCGCCCTGGACAGGTTTTGGTTCGATGGTGCCGATGATTAAGATTCGACTCGTGTCCCAGACACAATTCTCCTCCAGGCCGCTCTTCACCATCCCGCAGCCGGGCGGCACCCAGGCGGTGTTGTAGCCGTTGTACTGCCAGGTCTTCTTAAGTGGGTGGTTCTGATAGTTGATGACGATCACCTTTCCCACGTTGACAATAACTTTAATGACAACTCTGTCATACTCAGGGTGACCAATGGGATAGCGGCTCGCTTTCTCCAGGTCTCTGCTGAGGTAGACCCCCGGACCGAGCATCCCGTCCGGAGACTGGTGAAAACCTGTCATCAGGATACTTTTAGCTCTCGCGCTGGTGGTGCCGTGGTACATGACGTAGGTTGTACCGTCTCTTGGCCCTTCACAATCCACTCGTATCACTCCTGGAGGCAGGAAGTCATCTTCAGCCCACTGGAAGTACATTTTTCTGATTCGGATGTTGGTGTGATTGTCTCTGAAATCATGAGAACATCACAGCGTCAAGAACAAGAAGCCTGAACTTTAAAATAGAGAGTTAGTTATATTAATGGGGATTTATTATAAGAAATCTGGTGTTTAAAATTATTTTTACAGTATTTATAACTCATTATAAAATAACAGTGGTTCATCCTAAATACTTTCCAGTCCAGGCAGCTGTTGTGTTTCGTTGTGTTGCGTCAGATCTGACGATATGAGAATATGAGATACATTTAATCTCTTAAATTGGGAATTATCACTTCATTATCAAAGTGGACATGGACGCTCTGCTGGGTGCTGGGCTCCTGTTTCTGGCTCATGCTGCTCTCTCTCTCTCTCTCTCTCTCTCTCTCACAAACACTCACAAGAAGATTGTTGATTTATGTATCTGTGCATTTTCATGCTTTTGTGTTTCAGGTGCTGTAAATCAAATCAATTTATTTATATAGCACTTTTCACAGGATAAAAACCACAAAGTGCTTCACAGTAATATAAAACAGAAATACATAAAATACATTAATAATAAAACACAGCACAAATCTAATTAAAAGCCAATCTAAATAAATGAGTCTTAAGTTGTTT